TTCCAGGCAGAACAGAGCATTACGCACCACCGAGTGCTGGGAGGAGAGAGAAACTGAGCTGGAGCAGCCAGAGTTCACACTGCGGTACGCAGTAAAACAACAGGAATTGGATGGTACCTATGGACCCTTGACATCCCCACCCCCCTGTCTGATAAAGATTTTACCATTGTGTATCCCTTCCCTTCCAGGTCCAATACTCCCTGGAATGAGTGGGACAGCCAAAGGCTGTTCATTATCTGGTATCTGCTTTTCTTTAATACATCATGCTGTAATGTTTTTTCCAAGTTTGATTTAAAGACTGTGAAGCAGGGCTCCAACCCTTCTGCCTTGAGAAGAATTACTGGCCTGATTGTGTCTCAGGGCAAGGGGAGTTCTCTGATACACTTCCTCTCTGTAGATGTACTGGATACTTGCTTTTCCCCTCTAGCTATAACCCCGAGACTGTTCTGTGCTTTTACCCTTTGCTCTATCCTTTCCCTTATATTGTTTAGTTCCCCTTTCCCAGGGCCTTCTGAAAAAAATTCGTTTTTGCTGGAACTTGATAACATAGCTTCTAGTTTGGAGGTAAACTCTACCTTGCACAAGAAAGAATGTATTTTTTTCTATTTTCTGGAATATTTTTTGTGACATGTTAACATCAACAATGCATGTCTTCTTGAAGCCAGAATTGCAAGTATGGTTTAAGAGCACAATCACACATGCTGAGGACAATACTAATAAGTTTTTTATGAGGGATCTAATATGGCTTATTGTACTTACTGAAATACTCTCTGTCTTGCCAATAGCATTAACTACCTAAGGGCTGTACTATGCTCAGGAGTTCATGCAGCTTAACTTGAAATGGACCCATATCCCAATCAGATCCTGACAAACCCCTTTCACATTCAGTGGCACATTTAGGCTCAGACAGGGAGATGAAAAACATCCTTGTTATCCAACACAGTTCTGTCTGAGAACTTGGCTTCTAAATGCGACACATACCAAAGAAAGAATACTATTCTGGTGAAGTTAGTGTCATCCTTGTCACCCTACTGACAAAATAATTCCTCCTGATGGTTCTCACTATGCAGGAAAAAACTTTCAACATAAAATAGTCCTTACTACATTTGGAGCAGAGGGATTACAGCACCACGGCGACCATCCTGGCTCAGCAGTCCTGCTGCAATTCACACCCCAATTTAACTGCACCAGAGGCTTGTCTGACACTGAGAGGATCACAGACTCAGGGATCAGAGTGACCAAACCCACACTGCTTTTAAATAGGCCTCAAGCTTTTCACAGACTGTCATTTATGGTATTCCCTATAGGTATACCTTATTCCCTATAGGTATACCTTATTCCCCAAGCATTAAGGATGGGGATTTCCCATAAAACAATCTAGAAGAGGCAGAGAAAATGAGAATGAATCCCCAAGTGTGCCACCTTTTTTTTACAGACCTGTGCTGTTGTGTCAACATAATAGGCCCAAACAAGTGCTTCAACAGGAATGTACTATTCCAAGAAACAGAAGGAGATTTTTGTGGGTGTAGAAAACCTATTTGGCTCATTTTAGAGATTTAAATATTATTTAACTCACTGTTAATCCAAGCTGTACTCTTTTAAAGGAGCAAAAGCTTGATTCTCCACAAAAGAACTCAGAAAAAGATTAAGTGAAATGTGTATATGGGAGACAGGATTGGACAGGGGAGGAAAATGGAGGAAAAATGTTATTCCAGTCTAGGCTTGAATGGAAAGAATATTCAGACAGGATTTCTTCTTTCAAAAGGTAAAGGGACCTGACAATCTGGGGGCGACTGGTAGGGCAGGTTAGTACCATCTGTGGCTCGGGTTGGGGTGCAGACACGTACAGTTACAGGCAGAGGAATCTCCAGCAATGCAATAGTGATGTAGGCCGTCAGCGAGATCTCGTTGTCCACTCCACCCTGCAGGGAACCACAAGAGTAGATGTTGATCCCACACAGCACCACTGGCTTCTCCCTGTGCTACTTATCTACAGCCTGCAGGGACAAATTCTTCCTAGCCTCCTTCTCATGGCAAGTCCTTCAGAAGCTGCTGTTGGCTTCTTCCTGCTTCCGTGATAGCTCACATATTTAACTACCCCTCCTCCCCAACCCCCAAGGGCTGAAATGGCTCAATTGGTCCCAGAGTGACTTATGGTCAAGTTCCAGCCTGACAAAGCCCATGTGGAGCCAACCAGGCATCTGCATGGCATTGCATTACCTTCATGGCATTGTTCAGGAGTGTCCCAGAACTGCGGAAACAGCCGCTCTCCTTCTGCTTCTGAGTGAGCCAGACCAAAGCATCCTGGATGTGCTTCTCATCTATGAAGATGTGAGGCCGGGCCTGGGCAAAGGACTTGAGGACAAAGGCTGTGAGCCTGAAAGTGACAGAGGGAACTGAGACATCCTGAGCAGGCCCTGTATCCATCATAGGTCATAGGGCCCATGTGGGCATCACTGTTCTGGAGGAAAGCAATAGAGGCTACAGGACTCAATCACAGGAGGCTGGTTGGAAACTGTGAGCTAGCTTAGGGACTTGGTGAGATAGGGACCAATTGTAAATGGAGCCTGCCATTCATAGCCCTGAGGGGTGCGGGTAGGTGGGCAATGGCACTCTGGGGATTCATCGGCATCTTCTGCTAATAAGAACTAGCTAGGGCATCCTGCAGGACACCCTCACTTGAGCTGAAGAAGGGTGTCAGGGGAGGTAGGTAGCTATCAGTGCAGCATCGCAAACCTAAAAGGCATCTCCCTTAGCACCCTTCCCTGCTCCATTATTCTACGTGATTATCCTATGATGCCATGATTATTATTTCATCTCCACCTCCATTTCAACCTCCACAATGACCAAGCACAAGAGAACACTGAGGAAAGAGAGGGCATGAAAAGCAGAAATGAAAAGCCAGTGGTAATGATGTCTTACCAGGTATTCCCAACCTGCCCATAACGGGGCCCAAAAGTGCTATAAGAACCATCCCAGTGTTTGTAGTTCAATTGCCTTTGATACCCTGAAATAGAGAGTGGAAGAATATTTTAGTTGTCACAGTACTTTTCAAGGAGACATGCAAGGGAAACGTAGGAGACATGGGACACAGTGTCCCCCTTCTTATGGCACAAGTGTGAGCTACGCTGCTTAGTGTTACAATGGAAGTTCAGGCAAACCCACAGCTCTAAGTACCTCCTTGTGCTCTTCCTCTCTCCTAAAACACCTGGAAACTGGGTATGTGTGGTCATTGCTGCTCTCTACCCTAGACTTGATGAGGAGAGGTAAATGTATCCCAGACTTGAGAGATCCGGGAAAATAGTTCCCAGAGGAGAACTGAATACAAAGGTGAGCCCCACACAGAATAGGGATGCAGAAAGCAGCATAATTTTTATTGGAGTAAGTGCAGTTTTTCTGTGAAATAACCGAGTAAACCAGTCCCTTGTTAGTCAGCAGATACCCACCACGTCCATAGGTACCGGTGTTATGTCTGCCAACATGTCCTAGCTAGTGTGTTAAAATTCTGGACTAGTCGAAGGTGAGTGACACTTTCTAAATCTTAATCCTAAGGAGGGTCCGAGATCTGCACAAGTAGCTGCCACGATTAATGGTTACAGCCTGATTTATGTATTTCATATATCCCTTTTTTTATGGAGAGAACTGTGAGTTATTGGCAGTCCTGGACATTTTCTATGTTCCTGTTTGGATGCTGTCCTCTCTCATCCTGCACCTCCACCTGAGTGCAGGATTCTCTCTTTTATAGGTATTGTATTATATACACCTGACCTACCACATGTTCCCTTAATGCACCAGGACAACCTCCCCCACGTCATACATGCCAGTGGCCAACAGTGTCCTTATCCAGTTGCTGAGGGAAGGAATGAACAGACAAACAAAAGCCGTGTCCCAGCTCACCGCTCACTAAGTATCCAATGGCCTTGGATTTGACCTCCTCACTCAGCTGCTCTGTCTTGTTCAGATAGTCCAGGACGAAGATGTTGGGTGCAAACAGGACCATGTTCTGCTCCCCACAGCCGAATGGCATCTGGAGGAGCTGGTGCAGGTTCTGCATGGCAGTGCCCATGATGTCACCTGGGGAATGGGACAATTTCCAGTGTAAATTAGCACAGTTCAGGGCTTGCCAGTTGACTGAGCACAGCCTGAAGAAACACGGCAGTGTTTCAAAATAGCATGTGACACTTTAAGGATGCTTCACTTACCTAGCACTGAGAAATATGCTCTGGCTGAGCCATCCACTACAGTGTCTGGGAGAACCAGGGAGACTGGCTCTGACATTGACTTTTCTGGGATAAAAACCAGATCAATTTGGTTACAATTCCGGATATATCTACACACACGGCTAGCAGCTAAGAGGCTGAGACACCGTCCCCTGCACAGGGCTTTCCTGCCTTCAACAAATCCATTCATCTGTAATTTTGTTGTGGAAGCTTCCAATCCTGCAAATTTTCTGTTGGGCCTGCAATACCATCACACACAGACTGTCACGGACTTCTACATGGCACTGTCAGCTGGCCTTGACTGACAAATACGCTTTCCATCCTATTTTTCTGGCCTCTTCTGCTTTGGTGGGCAGACCTGGCTTACTGCAGAGTCCAGTTTGTGATTTTACACCTATTGCATGAACGATGTTAGAGATAACCCTATTAAATCCCAGATATTCTCTCCCTACAAGGACCTGGTCAGCCTCAGTTCCTAAGAGATGTGCTTCTGCCTCTGTGATTGCAGGGACTATTACAGCCTCAGCTCTTCTCCTTTAGGAAGAATTAGTTTCACTACCAGTTGGACATACATCTAGTTAGTTCAATTTTATCAGATCCCTACACCTTTCTTCTCAGAGCAGAGTATTCATAAACCTTGTCTTCTCCCTTTGTCTTTAGTCTCTACCTCGGCAAGAAAGTCTTAGAAAGCAAAAGGCTCTTACCAGATGCACAGAGCACAGAGTTGTAAGTAGTTTCCACCTCAGTCCCTTCCGGCTTGAGGAAAAAAGCAAAGAAAAAAGCAAAAAATGAGAACCAATAATAACAACAAAAAAGAAAAGGAAGAAATATCAAGAGGGTAACTAAAAGGGACTCTAAGAAAATTAAATACTTATGAATTCTCCTGTGGTTATAACTTTATTATACTGAAAAGTCTTTAGAAATTGCTTACAAAGTTTTTTCCTCCGTGTGCTAAACTGAGGATAACTTAGGACTATAACATACTGGCCATTTACAAACATGAAATTTAATACATGTTCTTTCCTTTCTTATTACTGAGAGAGGCCCTGCAGCTTCACAGGTTATGATGCAGATAACATGCAAGATGATGTTACCGACAGTGCTAATAGAGCCTTGGACCAGTTCAGCAGAACTCTTCAGACTGCGATGATGGCTGAGTGCCTGGGACACCAGTAGGATATGTATGCAAGAGCTTTGACAGGTGGCAACTAGAGCACTCCAATGCACCCACAAGTGACACGTTACAAGACCCAAAATTTAAATACATGTCACACCCAACTGATGATTGTACCCCCCCGTTTCGAAAAGTTCTAGCCTAATTTTTGAAGTCAGCAAAGCAGCCCTGTTTTCTGTTGAGCTGGTTGAAAACATTCTGCATAAAACCCAGGAATCAAATATTTACTAGAAAACATATTTTGTCAGGTTTATTTCAGTGAGATCCTCGCATCAATTTTTTTAACCTCCAAACAGGAGAGTTCTCATTGCTTCGTTACTGGTTCCCAACTTTTGCCAGCTGAAAAATTTTTCCAGCATGTAAACAATGGTATTACCTTCACTTTCTCACACAGTTAAGATAAATTGTCTCTCATTCTTCAGTATGAAAAGACAGAGAAAGATTAAAAGAGTAGGGGAAAAAAAAGAAAGAATAAAAAGCTTTTAGGATAAACTATGACAGAGCTAAATGCTTCTGTTTGAAAAGGCACCTTCTTTTTGTTTCAGTATATCATTCTGAAATGCAACTAAATGAGAAATCCATTGTTTTGTTTGATTTTGAACATTTCAACAGGAAATGAAAACATACAAACTGTAACTATTTGAAAGATTTTCCTTTCCAGCTGAGAAATTCCTGGGTGAAAAAAACATCCTGTTTCCCAACTAGTCCTCAACAAGGCTTAGTTTCCTGAGGGGCAAGAGGACGCCCCAGGGGTCTGGCACACTCCCTTCTCTCTCTTCCCGGGATGCACTGCCTTCTGCAGGGGATATTGACATCCGCGTGTTTGGGACGATGCAGCTCCACCCCTGCTGATTAATTGTTCAGCCTTGGATGCTAATCTCTGATTCTATCCAGTCAGGGCTTGCTGTAGATTAATTACCTCAATACAATAACAGGATAAGACCAGTAATGTCTCAGACACCCCGACAGAAGTAATTTTAATGCTTTATTTTTACTCCCCCAGCATCTGGGAGAAAAAACTGTACAGTCCTGATCTTCCAGTATCTTCAAAGAACAAAATAAACACTTTTTCCTGAAGGTATATGTGAATTTTTTTTTTGTTTGTTTGCCTGAAATATTAAAAAGTTACTCATGCCCTGATACATGAAATGCACTATACAATCAAATTAATTTGTAAATAAGTGAAATTAAAAAAAAGAAAAAAAAAAAGAAGCTTTGTTCCATCATTACATTCAGGTTAGCAAAACATTTTCTGAAGTTACATATTACAAGAATCCTAGCTCTGCCTTACTGAAAATTCGAATGTCTGCAATGTAAGGAGGAGTTGCAATGTTATATATTACTCCTGACTTAATTTTGTTAAATAAGATTATTCCTTCCTTTAATGCATAGGATTGACAATATTATGACATATTATATAGATTTTGCTATACAACAAGCTAGTACTCTTTGTTTGCTATTAATATCACAGGGAGTCTTATACTGTGAATTAATTTTATGACTAGCTATTTATCATGGGAGAAGCTGTGGCTTTATCATTGCAAAACACCACTTAAGAAAAAAAATGTACAAAAGAATGCAAAAATAAAAAGTTAGTTCATACTGTTTTGAATATTCTTAAAAATGTAATAAAACCAATTCAAAACAATGATGGTAGTTTGTTTGAAAATATTTGTAGATTGTAGTGACTGGCCATGTGCTGGAGAAGATGCATAAGGTTTCTGGCAAGTCTTCCATTTACAACCTATCCCTGTGATTTATTACAGGTAAACCCAAGGAGTTCTCATTTATCTCATTTATCTATAAGGTGATGTGTCTGGGACAAACCTGTCATTATTGCCTGCCTTATTATTTCTGTCCCACTATGTAATGTAATACCCTGCTTTTACTATGAGATGGCAACATTATGAGTTATGGGCTCTACATTATGAGTTATGGGCTGTATTGGCCTGTGTGAGATTTATCAATGCTTCTTTTATAAAAGTGTGCAGAGTAAGAGTCACACAAGCCATTATTGCTGCTATCGTGGCTAAAACAGAAAACCTTTATCATACAGCAACTGTTGCTGTGGAGCATGAAATCATTATTCCTTTTCTGTGCCACCGAACTCAGCAGCCACATACCTCCACCAGCAGCTGTCTGATGACCGTGTCCTTCCGCCCTTTCTCAGGGGTCTCCACAATGGCATTCCCGCAGGGCTGCTGGTTCTGCAGGGCCTCAGTGCTCACCGAGAACTCCACCTGCCCTGGAGGAAACAGGGGTCAGCCGGCCCTGATGGGCAGTGCCAGGGAAACAGGGGTTCGTGCTTGTGCTGGGCACTCTCTGGTGTGTTAAAGAGAAGCTCTTCCAAGAGGAGAACTAAACTTGAGACAGTGTTTATCTTGATCCGGCTGCAGCCTGCCAGGCCACCTCCTTCATGACAGCCACCCGAGCAGGTGTTAGTCCATCGGCAGGAAGAGTAGCGGAGGGGCAGGTCTTTTAAATCAAACAGTCTTTTTCTGGGAGGCTTCAGAGAAAGCAAGCTTTGGTTAAAATATTTCAGACCCAGCCACATTAAGCTAAGACGTTCTCAGCTCCACAACAGGAATGTCTGAGTGCTATGCATGCATTAAGGGAATCTGTGATTTCTATTCAAATGTTCAGAAAACAACGGCCCATAACACTTAGTTTGTTTAGGACCTGGAAACTGCATCCCAGTGTAGTGTCTCAGCCTCAGGGTTGGGCTTCTCACTTCTGACATAGACAAGATCCTTCCAGACAGGTTTGGAGTCACCTAGCTCCTCACACCAAAGATCTGATGCCATCCACAGATACCTGATCCCAGTATTTTCTTGTTGTCCAGCCTCTTACCTAGAGATCTTGGTGTTACTGCCCAAGCCACAGTTTTCCTTTCATTCATGCAGATGCAGTAGGATTCTTCCTGCTTCTCCACTGGTGTAGCCAGGAAATGAGTAGATTCGGCCAGAGACACGCTGACCTGCCATTGTGCAGAGAGGTGTCATGAAGGTTGGAACTGCAGAGAAGCTGCCGTTACTGGAGACAGCGCAGTACATGGAAATGGGTGGTGGAGCTGGTTATATTGTGGGACTGAGAACTTTATAGATATTGCAGAGCAAGAACTGGGTGATAAAGTGGGAAAAGACTGAGATGTGTACAATTGTAAGAGATTGGGGAGGTAAGTGTAGAGAACAGGACATGTATCTTTGGAAAGGAAATTGATTCTGGGAAAATGGAGAGCAATGGACCAGTTGTGTGAGTAAAGGCAAAGCAATGACTACAAACGTAGCCATGAATGAAAGACCACCCTCATGATTAGTTAGGTGAAGAAGTAAAACACTAGCAGTGGGAAAGGTAGTAAGAGAGTAGAGTAAGGAACCTGAAAATAGCAAACCAAACCGAAAAGACAGGGAAATAAATGAGAGTGCATTGGAATGGCTGGATCAGTGCCCCTCCTTGTTTCAGCTTCATTCCTTTTAGAATAAAAATCTGTATTTATAAAAAACTGAGCAAAGGTGATTGAGATTTTGTTCAAATCACCTCCCAAATTCTCTCGTCTTTTTTGTTGGTGAAAGAATGCAGATAAGAATAGTGAAGCTATAAAGCTCTGCTCAGTGTCTTAGGGGCAAATGCAATAAATCACAGGAAGTCTGCGTATTCCAGAAAATCTGGCGTGAAGCTTTGTGAGATGTTTATATGAGATGAGACTAAAGGCTGAACACAGGTATCCACCCTGGTGAACCTTGAGTTTCCATGTGGGTATGCAATGACGTTGTGGTCTGTGGATAACCCAAGTTTCATATTTCTATAGGACAATGACATAAATTTGTGATGACAAGGCTGGGGGCCTCAGCAGCAGAGCTTTATGTTCTGAATCAAATGCAGCTTCAAAACTTTGTCAGAAAAACATATTGCCCCTTCATTAAATACACCAAGAATTCCTACATATGTACACCTATATGAAATTATAGTCACACATCAGTCATCTGGCTTGGGAAACCATGTTGTAATTGGCCATTCTAGCCTTCCCCAAGCTGTCAGACCAGGCAAAGTTGTGAATGTCTCTTACCCTGATGCAGGCAGTCAGGTAGTTGAAAACGGTGGCTTTCAGCGTGAAGGACTCACCACGCACCACAGAGTAGGGCAGGGTGAGCTCTACAAAGAAGGGCTGGAAGGCTCTGAGGGACACTGTTGGGGACAGGCCAAAGCCTGTGTCTGCCGAAGTGCAGAATGCATTGGCTTTCCACTCGGTGATGGTGTCAGGGATGGTCACATCTAGATCAGCATTTCCCTCAGAGCTGACAAGGGACAGAGAAGAAGATTTCAGTTATATCCCAGCGATCGTCTATGTTTTTCTCAGCCTACTGGACAACACCCGCTGACAGCAAACTCCTGACCAGCTGGGAGGTGGCCACTGGCTTTTGCATGTCCTCCCAAAGCATCCTATACTTAGTGACCTTGAAAAATCCCTCTGTCTACTAGGAATACCCCTCTCACTGAAATACTGATACTTCCATTGAGGCTTAAATGGAAGGTTTTGTCCCAGTGACCACACCCTACATTCCCATAAGCACTTACTTCACTGAAATTAACTCCCAGATCCATGTCTCAGGGAAGTACTTCCGGACGGTCTCCACAGGATTGTCAGCATCCATATGTTCCTTTAATTTATAGTCCAAATCTCCAAGCAGATTCAATGCAGTGACTAGCAAATTTGTTCAAGGACAGGAAGAAAGGAAAAGATGTGTCAAACTCCATTCTAAATCAGGTGGATACTTTCCTTCCAGGTAGTAGTTATTCTTAGCTAAAATTTTAAAATTGAAAGAACAACTTTGAAAACTTGGCCACTGGAAACGAATGTATTTCTCTGCTGTCATCTCAATATTACATTTTTCCTAATGTTGCTGCTCTTCTTGCAGAGATTGGATGGGGTAATTTGTATTCAAAGAAGTAGAGGGAAGGAAAGAAGCAAGGTGGCAAATTTTAGGTAGTTGTGGGGGAGGTAAAATGAAGCACATATTCTTACTAGAACCGTAACTCCTTTCCATCATGTGTCCTGGGTAATGCTGGCAGATTTCAGGCTTATGGATCTTGCTGCTAGTGAAGACTTTTAAGCCCAATTCCTAGTAAACAAAGAGAAGGAAGAACAAAAAATACACAAACCATTTTGAAAAGAAACTATTTTTAGTATGTCAAGAATAGATGTACTTATGTCTGGTATTGATCAGAATAACAAAGGCTTGCCTGTAAGTGCCAGATAGACTGGTTCAACCCAGATTTTGAGGCTTTATCATGTTATACTCATCCTAAGGCTAAATCTTGACATAATCAGATGGAAAGCTAAGGCCACAGGTCTATCTTGGGGACACCTGCCTGGGTGAAAATGACATGTGTGAAAAGCGTTAGATTGAGGGTACCCAAAAAGTCTTGTGCAGGACTCTCTAGATGGGTATAAGGTGTGTTTGCGGGTTATCAAAGTAACTGGCACTTTATTAAAGAACTATCTACACCAGACAGAGAGAGAACATGCATGACTGAGGAAGGGTTTCTAATATTATGGTACCAGCAGTTACTTCTCAGGACTGTTTCCTTACTTGAGCCCATTCACAGGTTCTCTACTAGCAGCGAGGAGACCCTTCAAAGTTTTAATGGTTCAGAGAAGCACTCAGGTACCAACGATGGGCTACATAGATGCAGGGCCTGGGCCTGGTTATTTTCTTGCATACAAAAGTTAGCAAGCTCAATGCAAGGTTTACTAAAAAACCCTTCAGGACAGGGGAGAAGAGGAGAGGAGACTGTATTCCAAAAAAGGAATAATGAATTAAAACAAAAGGCTGGAGCTTACTTTGAGAATGTCATAGGCATCACCTTCGCCGTCAGGAGAAATGGGTATGTAGACAAATCCATTTAATAGTATGTTGTCAAGTGACACACAAGGGTTTATGTTGTCGTCTTCTAGGTAGTAGTCCTTGAAGCTATAACCCCGGAGATCCTTCAGTGGGAGAAGATCATACACCTGAGGAAATGCAAACAATCAGGGAAAAGTGTGGCAGGTCGGCACTTACAAGGACACAGACACTACTTAACACTCCTTTGATAAAAGCCAGCTTCTGAAAAACAAGTGTAGTGACTGCAGCTATAAAAATACGTGGCCCCATGTCAATAGTGGTGTCAATTGTAGTTGAAGGACTGGTTCATTCTTGTACTTTCTCATTACCAGAAGTAACCAAGACTTACAGAGCTGGGAGAGAGCTCATCTTCAGGCTTCATGAGGAGAACGCTCTTGTCCACAGCACGGAGGGCACACAGGGACCCTGGTGAGGTATGGAGTTGCAGGTGTGTGTTGGAGGCAGGAAGACCTTCCTTGGGTACAAAACTCAGTCTGACCTGCAACCCCAAAAGGAAGTTAAAGCAGCCATTTTTCCAGATCCTGCTAGGTGCTATTATATTGAAGCATCTAGCCTTGTGAACAGAGCTCTGCTAGTGCCTTGCAGCTCTTCTAATATATATTCAGCTTTGACCAGTGTAATACATAAAGACCAGTGATCCTCTTTCTTCTTCTGGCTTGATCCACTTTTTATAGTTATGGCTTTGTAACTTATTCTGGAGTTTCAGTCACTAATCCTTAGACAACACCTGGTCAGACCATTTCATGAACCCATTGTGAATTCTGCCTCCATTCTGAACTGATAACTGAGCTACTGGCCATGAGACAAACATGGGCTGCATAAACCCTGACTTATACTCACTTTATTGGGGAGGCAACTTTCAACCTGGAAATCTGCTGAACTGGTGATGACTTCCCCACTGGGTGAAGTGGTATACACAAGCATCCGTGCCAGGGGAGCAATCGCCGCCTCAACAGGGAAGGTCAACTGAAATGTCCCATAAGCTAACAGAGAGAAAAAAGGCTAAGCAACATACAAGAAGTTCCAGTATATGCATTTGCCCTCCCCAGATAAAAAAGTCAAGTTCATTCACGCTGAACATTTTTTCTTAGCAGGGGCAGTAATACTGATACATGACTGAAGTCTATGGCTGTTGCTAAAGACACCTGAATTCAAACAGTGATCATGTAATAGCCAAATGAGATGAGTTTGGTGGGCCTCAATATGCCTTCTAGGTTCTCCCCAGATAACATCTAGCATAATTTCTTGATGTTCCCAACCCCCTTCTTCCTCAAGCTCCAAGATCTTCTGCAGTCTACGAAAACAGATGAGGGAAAAATGTAGAAATAAGGGACTGTTGTAATGGGTGGCAGCAGTCAAGGTTGCAGATTGGTTGAAAGAATAACTTTGTAAAGTTACTGCTAAGTAACTGTAAAGTTACTGCTAAGCTGAAACACCAAGCTATTGCTCTGACCACAGTGGAAATATGCCCTTCTATGTTGAAAGACTCTTCCTAGCTGGGCCTGAGCTTCATGTCACAATCTGGACGAAGGTGATAGAACATCTCTTGTTATGAGCCAGGGTGTTAGTTTAGCCACTACTACTAGTGAGGATGCAGAACTTTCTATGAACATGCAGCACGCAAGATCTTTACTGTTTATATACACTGCAGTGCAACTCCTTCTCATAGACTTCCAAAATATTTCCCTGGTCTCATTGTTGAAAGACTTTTAAAGATGTATCATAGCCAGCCTGAGTTACTGAAATGTGTAACCCTTGGACATTTATATGAATAAAATTAAACATATTGGTTAGAATATAGGTATGTGTGTGTTTGCATGCTTATAAGGGAGAAACAGTACCAAAAAATGAAGGGAAGTGAGAGAGAGAGAAAGAAAAGGAGACACATTCTTCCTGCTCACTGTACATGTGAGTCTCACAACATTGGTAAGCATCCACAATCTGAATAGGGTAGGGTGGTCCTCAGAAAGTGTTGGTTTGAGGAAAGAATGACCAAAACATTATGCATTTTTTTTTTGTTGAATTTTCTAAAATTTTCTGGTCAAAAAAATAGCACCTGACAGAACTCAGAGAAAACAAAACTAACCCAAGCCACTTCATTTTAAAAGATTTAATTTTGAAAACACGTTTCAATTCAGACATTAAATGTTCGAATTGAAATGATTTCTCTATAGCCCCCTGCCCCCAAATTATCATTAGAGATGCTAAAAATGCATAGTTGTTCTCACCATCTCCAGGATTCACAGTCAGATCATGGGTGTTTGCTAATATAATGCCTCCCTTGGCCATCACCTGTGTGACAGAGAAACCTTCCTGTAATTGTTGCTACTGGTGTTGAAGGGAAGGAGAATGAATGTTCACTGGGTTAACTGTAGAGTGTAAGTATGAATAGCACTGCCAACTGTAAGCAAAACCAAGAATATACTAAGCAAGTGCCAGACTGGAATTTACTGTGTCTTTGGAGACAGAAATATTCACTCCTAGGAGGACCAATGTTTCCTCATTGGTTAGATCTGGCTTCCCTTTTGTACACATTAGATACATAGATCAGGTTCAAATGCACTTGCCTCTGAGCACACATAAGTTCGGGGGTCATATACACCTTTCTAACAATTTGGAACAGAATGATGATCAAAGTTCTCACTCCACTCTCAGCTGTATTGTGAAACAGTCTGGAGAAAAATTTAATCAAGATTAGTATCATAACTCACACAGAGTTGGAATAGAAGGGCACAGGCTGTAAATAAGAAGAGCTTGAATAAGGTACCTGAAGTCAGGCACTAAGTAACAGTCTGAATGCTAGATGTAATCTCCTCATTTCTAGAAAAAGTTGCCTTTTTCACAACCAAAACCCGCCTTTTATACAATTACTTTCCATATAGGATATCTATTCCATAGCACCATATTTTAATTTCAAGATGTGTTTTCCACACCTATAAAAATGTAAGTTCCCTCACTGTTTGGGTTACCTGCTGTATGTATATACTTAAGACCAGCTTTCCTAGGCTACCGGGATAAATAGGAATCTTGTGCTTCAATTTGTTGTTAGCATTCTTGAAAATAAGCACATGGACATCTCTACCACAGGTTTCTATTCTCTTTTTTATAATCTCAAAGTCCCCATGATGTTTTGTACAATCCACCAGAACAGGAGTGTCTGTTCCACTGATTTCTTCTAGCTCTCCAAGGCTACTCTCATCTCTTCTGCTAGTGTCATGAAATGGGAAAACCAGAAAAACAAATTTAGGGGGAAAGAAGTTCTATTTGAATATTCATCTGACTCCTCCTGTTCTCCCAAGCAAAACTGAGAGATCACTGTTCAGTCACAGCTGAATTAGTCTCTTCTCTCTGCCCCCCAAAATGAACCAATTCATGGTTCTCAATGCCAGCATGTTATAGTCTGTTCCAGTTACTGTGGTATCCCAAACTTTCCATCATTGCCTGCCAAGAAACTCTAAGCTTATTGGGCTTTTCTGGTGCTGTAGTTACAGGTGTTGCTTTAGTTTCAGTGGTCAGATGACTAGCAAAGGACAAAACTGAGCAGGAGACTGCTTTTCTCCTCATCTTTCATCTTCTTGTTGTAGGATGCTGGTTTCTGAGCTGTGACCATATATGAACCAGAATTTGGAATGGGGGAAACTGGGAGTGGAGTATTATGAAATGAGAGTCTTGGATGGCTGCACCCAAGACAATGGTATCTCCATCAACATTTTGTCTCTGTTCTTAATAAAAGAACACCATACCCGTGTCTGCATACAGAAGACAACGTGAGAAACATTACAGAAATGTACTTAATTCCCACTGCCACAGGCCACACTTTCAGTTTCAAACTCTCTCTATCATTACTGGCTGAGGACTCACCATATAGCAGTGCTGTGGTTGCTCATCATGGAGGGTAGCTATAGGTGCCACAGTGCTCTCTATGGCCATAGATCAAAGCAACCACAAATAATTCTTACCAAGTAGTAAATGACAATTTTCTTCTGCTCTCCTATGGCCTCTGGTGTGAAGATATAGTGCACCTGGATCTCCGTGGGGGAGCCACAACTTAATGTCTCAGGCTTTGGCTCAATTTTGAGGAAACTCTTACTCGGGGAGTAAAATCGACTTATTCTACGCGTGGCATGCTCATATGAAGGTGTGATCCAGTCGCTGTCATAACAGTTCGGTTCAGGTTTATGATCAGCCTGATAAAGAAGAATAAAAAGTTCACAGCTGACCAAAACCAGTTAACAAGTCACATGAAAGTCCACAGAAAAACTCTGGGTATGTTCCATATTTCCCACTCTTAGAAGAAGGTAGAGAACATGCACAGCAGACAAAGAGAAGAGAGGTGACCTGCCAAGAAACTTGCTTTACCTTTCAATTGGCAGAAAGACTGATAATCCATGGATAGATATTTCCCTTGCTGCTCAGAAAGAAAAAGGCTTACCCCAGTCCCTCTGCCCTGTCTACCACTCACTTGGATTTCCAGGGAGGCTTGTGTGAAGGTGGTAGTGTCTATGGAAAACCAGGATTGTCCCTGCTCATCTGTAGTGTAATTGCCTTTGTATCTGTCTCCATCCACAGAAATCATGATGGTTTCATTGGTGATTGGAGCATCAGTGCCATCTACCAGCTTCACCTAACAGAGCAAAAACAAACTTAAGGTTTTAGTCTAGAAACAGAAAACAATTCCCAAGTCTTAAAGCCTCTTCCCCCTTTTCCTTCTTGCCAGGGAGGATGTTTCTTACAGAGAAGAACAAAAGACGTGAATGTGGAAATGTGTGGGGTGAGTCCTGAGTTGTCTGAGGCAGCAACTGAGAAAATTCTCAGCAAAACAATCTGATTGGGCAAGGGAAATTATCTGTCAGAGCCCTAAGTTCCTCAATAGGTTTTAATTCCCCTGGCCAGCTTCATATGGGACCTCCACCATGTATCATATGCCTCTTTGTTCAGGAACTCTAAGTTCAGGCTTGGCCTTGCCCCTGTCCTTGACTAAAGCTACATTGGAGGTAGACCTACACCCAGCTCTTTCTCCTGCTGTTCCCACCTGGTTAACTGGACTTTTGTGGTTAAGCTCAGCCCTGACTCATCACCTCACATTGTCTGGTGATTGCTGGACTGTAGGTGGAACCTGTTACTGTCACCACCCCAGCTCTATTCATTCTGGTTGGGTACTGTGGGACTGTGCCTTTGTTGATGAAATCCCTATGCCTACCTGTGTTGTGGTCACCCTTTGCACCTGGATAACATTCCCTTGTGGAATAGCCCACACTTGCTGCTCCCTGATGTTATTCTTACGTGTCAGAGCAACAGGCCTTCTATTCTTTACTGGGCTGACTGCCAGGAGGTTCAGGGCCATATGTCTGTTAGAGTGCCCCAACTGACAGTAATTCATCTGCCTGTGCAAAGGCAGAGGAGGGTGGACCATGTCACCTGCATGCTGCTATTTCATCTGATGGGATTGTGCACTTGTGAGTTTGCTATGCCATGCATCGTCCAGGGTCTCAGAAGTTCCCTACCCTCCCAAAGAGTGGGATCCCTGGTCTGTACTGAGAGTCCAGCAGGTCAAAGCTGATTTTGCTCATAATAGGCGTGATTCCACAGGAGCCTGTTCCAATCATCTCTATTCCTGAGAGAGAGCACAGTAAAGAGGGATTAGTAATGAATGGCAGCATTTCTAGACGTGTCACTCCACTTTCCTTATCTTTGCCAGGCCCTCCTGTTATGGCCTGCCATCACTTTGCCATCTCCATATG